AAAAGAACCTATATATTTTGTGACTTAAATATAATATCTTTTCACAATTTTACAGGACACAGGGACCCAAGTTTTCTCTATTGATGGCAACTTTGGTCTTGTTCGGAAAAAGGCGGCTGGCATTGACCTGGGGATTGGAATGTCACCTCGATTTTTTCTCCCACAAGACCAAGTTGACCAGTATGTAAGCAAGGTTGGAGTGACGACTAAGAAAAGTGATGGGGTATGGGGAAGAATATTGCTTTTATAATATAGCGTAAAATATACAAGCTCGCATTGTACAGACTTTACAGATGCATGTAGATCTTGTGGATGAACCCAACTTGCATGTTGTGCTTTTGATTTATTAGTTGACACTTCATTTGTTAAAATGTGAATAATGTGACATCTGAGGGCCAATCTGTTGGCAGAAAATGTGTGCTGTAGTAACTCTTTACCACATTTTTACTTGCAGGTTTGCAATGATTTCAAAGCTGGCAATCCGTTAAGGAGCAAATCCCGACCATGATATGCCGAAAAGTTTCTTGAACTTTAGGCATGGTAAATGGCGAGTATATGTCAAAACTGGTACATGATGTATGTATGTAGTTGTGCAGAATTAAATTTATGACATAGTGTGGACAATAATAAATCCTTATAACATCATTAAACTTACACATCATTACACTATCTATACTTAATATATTTGTCAACTATATTTTGTAACATAACTGTGCTTGTTTTTAGCCTTGCCTATCCAGAGTTTCTCTGCCAGTGGCTTCTTCAAGGTGTAAAGGTTCCTAGGGTGGTTATACTGTATGACATTGCCTGTGTTCTTGAACAACATGCTCAAGTAATCTTTGTTATATTTCAGGTTATATATCAGTTGATAATTATGTAGAGAAATGGTATTCATATAAACTACACGTATATATGTACGTATGTACGTATATATATTGACCAATTCCCTAATTATTGTGCAACAAGGGTTAGGGTTAGGGTTAGGGTTAGGAACTGTCGGGCATTTAGAAAATCGAAGACCGTGCCCGGCTGCCGGGCAACTTGAGATAACGCTAAAAATTAAAAACTGCCGGGCATTTAGGAAATCGAAGACCGTGCTCGGCAACCGTCAGATATAAGCCGGCTGCCGGGCATATAGCCATTCTGTAAAACAAATGCATGACGTGTTCATTAAGCTCTAAAATTGTCATATATGTTGAAGTGGTACCGTTGATGTACACATACTAGAGTTAGCACATATTTTGCCCAGTACTTGAGTAGTGTAATATGTATATAAAAAAACAGCAAAACATTCAGATTACTATAAACAGTGATGAGTTGATAAATGCCATATGCTAAATGTCTTAATTATTACATATGTAATGCTTTGATCTTATATTTTATTTATTTTTAGAATGGAATGTTCACCCGATATGACACCAACAGGGTGGAAGTGTGGAATTGTGATGTGGACCACACCTGCATGCATATCAGGCTACCCCCAGGTTGTTACAGTTGTCGATGCGAGAGGTGAAATATGATGTAGGGGACTTATTAATTGTACGTTATAAAGCCATTCATTACGTTTTATTTACCAAAGATGTTAGTTTATGCTATGAATGACCATTTTTGTTTTCGACCAGCTCAGCATATTCTGTAGCCAGACATACGCTACATATATAACTAGACAGAGGGCACTCACGGAGTGCATACCTCCGCCAGCGACATACGCCATACGCCCCATGTAACATGTATGTATTACGAGCTGGCTCGCCGCTCGCTGCTGGCTGCTGCTGACTGTCTGGCCTGCTGCTGGCTGGCTGGCTGGCTGGCTGGCTGACTCGACGCGCTAATATCGATCGCCCGAACACAATAACACACGAGAGCGATCACATAACCTCCGTTGGGGGAGGTAAAAAGTTATGTAAAGCCCATTGCAGAAATTTTTCAAGAAATTATATAGGCAATCACACGAATATGCGACATAAATGAAGGCTATATATGTAATGCACACGTCTGTTTACTACACTACATTTACATGTGTCGTAAATAAAGATATACCACATTATTATCATCTCTTGTTAACATAGAATATAACCACATGTATTTTTAGGAAGACAACGCAGTGTTCAATTAACCGTGTGCAGCTGCAACTCTGCAGCGGTCACAATGCTACGGTATGGCTTGTGGCAATTAACACCAACAAACCCCCAGGTGGCATTCACCATTGATCTGATGGAATTTCTAAGGCTGTTGGTACTTGAGTGCCAGGTATCTGTCAAGGGCTTCTGTGAGGTGCTGATGCTCTATGGCGCTGAAGACCCACTGGCAGACAACGATGTAAATATAGTAATATATTTTTACAGACTTTAAGAAATGTCACTATCTATAAAATATGTTATAAGCTTTACACAAGCATTATCATTTTTCTTGTGTATTATGTTTCTCCTGTCGATAAATGCCCAAACTCACACCGAGTTACATCTGGATACAGATTAGAGACATCTACAGAACCTTGCAAGGAGGGTGTTTTGAGGAGTATCGTAACTTGTGGAGAGAGGCCAGATACCCAACGGCTGCTGGAGGTGATAATGGCACAACATGCCCAGCCTGCCCTAAGCTACAAACACATATACTTGAAAATATCGATGTTGCTACTTAAGATTCTCTGTGTTATTTGGTCTTGTTTTTGGTCATCAAGAACAAAAAGAACCTATATATTTTGTGACTTAAATATAGTATCTTTTCACAATTTGACAGGACACAGGGACCCAAGTTTTCTCTATTGATGGCAACTTTGGTCTTGTTCGGAAAAAGGCGGCTGGCATTGACCTGGGGATTGGAATGTCACCTCGATTTTTTCTCCCACAAGACCAAGTTGACCAGTATGTAAGCAAGGTTGGAGTGACGACTAAGAAAAGTGATGGGGTATGGGGAAGAATATTGCTTTTATAATATAGCGTAAAATATACAAGCTCGCATTGTACAGACTTTACAGATGCATGTAGATCTTGTGGATGAACCCAACTTGCATGTTGTGCTTTTGATTTATTAGTTGACACTTCATTTGTTAAAATGTGAATAATGTGACATCTGCGGGCCAATAGGGCCAATCTGTTGGCAGAAAATGTGTGCTGTAGTAACTCTTTACCACATTTTTACTTGCAGGTTTGCAATGATTTCAAAGCTGGCAATCCGTTAAGGAGCAAATCCCGACCATGATATGCCGAAAAGTTTCTTGAACTTTAGGCATGGTAAATGGCGAGTATATGTCAAAACTGGTACATGATGTATGTATGTAGTTGTGCAGAATTAAATTTATGACATAGTGTGGACAATAATAAATCCTTATAACATCATTAAACTTACACATCATTACACTATCTATACTTAATATATTTGTCAACTATATTTTGTAACATAACTGTGCTTGTTTTTAGCCTTGCCTATCCAGAGTTTCTCTGCCAGTGGCTTCTTCAAGGTGTAAAGGTTCCTAGGGTGGTTATACTGTATGACATTGCCTGTGTTCTTGAACAACATGCTCAAGTAATCTTTGTTATATTTCAGGTTATATATCAGTTGATAATTATGTAGAGAAATGGTATTCATATAAACTACACGTATATATGTACGTATGTACGTATATATATTGACCAATTCCCTAATTTTAACCAAAATTTTTTTTTTAAGTACTATTGCTATTCAGTGTTGTCTTAAATTTCCTGCCTCGTGTTTAATGGTATTGGCACTTATTGCCAACTTTCGTAACAAATTATATCACCGACAATATCACAATAAATTATTCTGTTTTTTTGTTCTAAATGAATGTCATCAGAGTAAGCTCAGAATTGATATTTTTGTGTTTATTTACAAGATAAACAAGATTATAATTATCTCCCACTTTCATCATGTTTAAAAACTGTTTGCTCTTTTAGAATTTGGACCCAATGTCTCAACATTCGGAACGCGTGGCTGAATTCAGGATACCAATATTCCACATGTATGGGCATAAGGTTGGATGTCAGGTATGTTGTGTTTTAAAACGTCTTTTCTGCGTTATTATCAAAATCATCCCAGATATCTCTTTCTGAATGTTATAGATATGACGGTAAATGTGCTAATGTACGTGTTGCTAATTAACATTTATGTGACTCTTATATTGAACATGACGTTAGGGTATTATATCTGGAATTGTAATCACATCAAATCGAATTCTGCAACTAATAACATATTTTTGACCCAAAGATGTAGGCGAGTGGTTCTTAACTTTTTTGAGTCATGGACCCCTTTGAAAGTCTTGTGAAAGCTACGGATCCTTCCCAAGTAAAATGCACATAAGCACATAAACACAAAATTGTGCAACATGCGCCTGGTTCGCGAACCCCCAGAAGCCCAACAACGGATCCCAAAGGGGTCCATGGACCACAGGTTAAGAACCCCAGATGTAGACAGATTGTTTCTTTCCAGAACATAACAATGCATATGCTGAAGACTATACTAAGCTCATTGTTAAAACCACATATTGGCTGTTAGTAGAGGCTAATTTTGTTTTCTTGCTTACAGGTTAGATATAGTCCACGTAGGTTATCTGACATTGGACTTACAGATGGAGAAGGGATGGAACGCTTGTGGTCGTATCTGAGACGTTTCAACCGCATCACAAAAGAAATGACCCCCGACCACCGTGTGGCACTACTAGATGATGCTTTGCTTCATTCCTCAAAATACCTCAGGAACCAAATGGGTGTACACATATTGTTCTTGTGCTCAGTTATACAGTTTAGGTTTATTGATCCTGAAATAAAGGCATGATCTATCTTCATGATGATTTCCAGAAAATAAATAATGTGTCAGCCATTTTAACCAAAGACCACTAATTTAAAGTAAAATTGTTTGCCATAATTACTTGTATAAATATAAGCCATTTTCTAGCTAACTATATTCTAAAAACGTGAATTGCTGTTCAAGCTGTTAGTTCATACATTATAGGAGAAACCCTGATGCATCGCTACATAAAAGCGCAGACAACCAGGAGTAACTGTGATCAGGAACTTGAGCAGCTAACGTCAAGCTTGTCAGGTTGGACATTTATAATCTGTTATGTTTGTTATACTTTTTTTCAAACAGTTTTTTATTTCTGGTTTTATGATACTATACATGGTGTGTATACTCTATTATGTTTAAAGTTATTAAATTACTGTTGCTACTTGTAGAATGCCCTACTTTGCAAGACATAAAACAGTGGCAAGTCGAGGAGCTTCAAGCAATGAATGTCAACATTAAGCCTACCATCACAGGTGGTTTAGAATAAGCACAAGTATAATTAGGTGGACATGTGTGTTCTATTGTTACTAAATGTATGCGCGTGTCATGCGCAGTTGGTGTTTGTATAATAAACGCCACTCGTTGTACGTGGCCCCAGCTAGCCAGACGTCTTGTCTTGTTTGTCCACGTAGAACAGAACATGGTGTCAGAATAAGTACGAACTCGCCTTGAGTGATACGAATGACCATAGGCATAGTTATCAAGAAAGAACATGCAGAGCTGCAAGAAGAGTCAGTGAGGAAGTAAGACGCTCTATTCATGATCTATTATTGTGATTAAGTGTGTACTCTATCCAGTCACGCCATGGAGCTAGCTGGGATTCCCGTGCCTAAGATGGAGTGGGACTCGTCTAACCTGCACGAGGCGTTTAAACGGTTTAAGCAGCACATTGAACTTGTGTTTGATGGCCCGTTGACAGATAAAGATGAGGCAGTGAAATGCAAGTATTTCATGCTGTGGATTGGAGACAGAGGGAGAGAGATTTACAACACATGGAGCGTTTCGGAAGACGATGCGAAAAAACTATCTACCTACTACGAGAGTTTCCAGTCGTACATACAGCCGAAATTAAACCCGATATTTGTGAGGTACAAGTTTAATAACGAGGTTCAGCGAGAGCAGTCAGTAGAGCAGTTCATAACCAGGCTTCGAGTTCTCGGAAAGGATTGCAATTACAGAGATCTGGATAAAATGATACGGGACCGAATTGTATTTGGTATCTCGAACAGTAAGGTCAGAGAGAAGCTGGTGAACGAGGGAGAAAAACTGACTATGGAGAAGGCAATCACTATTGCGCAGCAATTCGAGTATGCACAGGAGCAGATGAGGTCGATGTCAGCGACAGGCCAATGCCAGCGGAATCACATTCGGTGAGAGCAGCGAAACATAGGCAGTACGTGGCGAGCAGACAGCAACCGCAACCGCAACCGAAACCGCAACCGAGAGCAGAACAGAGAGCGAAACTGCCGTTCGCGCCAAGAACCAATCACGTTCCAGGAAAGAAGTGCGGGAAATGTGGCTATTTCCACTGTGCAAAACAGACATGCACGGCGAAGGGAAAGCAGTGCAACAGATGTAAACAGTGGAATCACTTCGCGAAAGTGTGTCGTAATGCTGTTGACGGCACCCGAAGTGGAAATGCGCATGCAATTGTGGCTGAATTGCCTTACGGTGAGTATAAGTCAGATAATGAGCCAGTCGGTGATGCTGAGTTCTATGTGGACATCGTTGAGAGGGATAATAAAGTTACGAATGACCAGGCATTTGCTGAGGTTGAGCTGGGATTGGGTAGGGTAAAGGAAGTGGTAGTGTTTAAACTTGACACTGGGTCTCAAGTTAACATTATACCGAAGGCTGTACATGATCAGTTAGGTAATGTCGCCTTTACACCCCCCAGGCAAACGATTTATGGTTACGGTAATTAGAGCCTGAAGACTATTGGCTGTTGTCAGTTGAAGTGTGGCTACAGTGGAAATTCGCTCCTCAGTGCTGAGTTCTACGTAGTTGATACCAGTAACTACCCGTTATTGAGTCTGAATACCTGTGTGGCTTTAGGTCTGATTAAGGTTACTCTAGCTGTGGATAGTAAGAGGATGAGGGAAACAGACAAATCTCCAGATAGCATATTGTCGGAGTTTAGTCCAGTGTTTGAGGGAATCGGTACCCTGCCTCAAAAGTGTAGGGTACATCGGATGCGATTCCAGTTGTACACCCACCGAGGAGGGTCCCGCATGCTCTTAGAGACAAGTTTAAGAAAGAACTTGATCGCATGAGAAGTCTTGGGGTGATTGAAGAAGTGAGGGAGCCTACTGAATGGGTGAATTCCATTGTTTTGGTAGAGAAGCCCAGGACTGGTGCCTTGAGAGTGTGCCTTGATCCGAAAGATTTGAATAAGGCCATTACTCGTCCACATCACCCAATGCGTACGCTAGAGGATATCTTACCTGTGTTAACGGGTGCAAAGTATTTCTCTAAGCTGGATGCCCGATCAGGTTATTGGTCGATAGTGTTGGAAGAAGAATCGTCCCTGTTAACGACGTTCAATACTCCGTTTGGGAGATATAAGTTCAAGCGTTTACCTTTTGGTCTGGTATGTTCGCAAGACGAATTTCAGAGGCAGATGGATGAAATCCTTAGAGACTTGGTAGGGGTTGAGGTGATAGTTGACGACGTGCTAGTCTATGGGGGGACTGTCGAAGAGCACGATCGCAATTTAAGGAGTCTGTTGAAGCGTTGTGCGGAAAGAGGAATAAAGCTTAATAAGGATAAGCTGGTGGTCAGAGCCACTGAAGTCCCTTTCTTTGGGCACCTGTTAACAGCAGAGGGGGTCAAGCCGGATCCGAGCAAGATACGGGATCTATGCGGTATGCAGGCCCCAGGGAACAAAGCAGAATTAGCTACTCTGTTAGGAATGATCACTTACCTATCGAAGTTCTCACCAAATCTAGCTGAGGTCACGAATCCCTTAAGGCAATTGATGGCCAAGGATGCAGTTTTTCTATGGGATGATGCTCAGCGCGATGCATTTCAGAGAGTGAAAGAGATCCTCACGCAGAGTCCTGTGTTGGCATATTTTGACCCCTCGAAAGATACCTGTCTGCAAGTCGATGCATCAAAAGGACTTAGATGCATACGCCACAGGGCGTCCCTCCTGTAGAACTACTGCACCCAGGCCATAGCCAAACAGTATCGCATAAAGCTCTTTCTCTATCTGAGCATAACCAACTTCCGTGGTAGTGAGATGTAAG